GCTACGTGGGCATAGCTAGCTGGCCTATTCTCCATGGTGTGTAGCCGCGCTTCTAAGTCTGTGAGCCTCGCCTCCAATGCTGCTAGCATCTGACATTTATTACAAGTACCATTATCGCTAAAGGAGGCAGAGGAATAACTGAACATGCGACACTCCGAGCAAGAGAAAGGAGGAGAGGAAGAGGGGGAAGCCATTGCTCTCGATTAAGCTACTAGCTTAGCTAGCTTCTAAACTAGCCGACCTAAAGTAGCACGTTAAATTTGGTAGTTAGCAAGAACTTCTGCAAAACAAGTGCTTTAAGTGGTGCAAGCGTATGTTGTCACTCAAAAATTCAGATGAACCTAGAAAATAGTGAGTTTAATTCCTAAACAATCTGGAAGCAAGCACAACGCAGTGCAAATACAGAAAACAGGAAATGAGTACGGTTTACCGCAGGAAACAGGAGTCCGTCAAAGGTTCCACATCCAATTACATTGTTCAGATAGCTGCCCGCCTGGCTCTGACCTAGTGCTATCACTCTGACTTCATAGGACATTCAGGGCTGTCTCAGATGGCAAAACACCATAAATAGAAGATCTGATAAGATATGGTTGAATCCTTTGTACTGTCAGCAGATACACAGTACTAATATGCCAACAATTAATCAAGTTTACTTTATGAGCCTCAAAACCATTTTATGTTATAATATTTTAATTGTACAGGTTTCAAAGTTTCAGTTCAGACTTTCAAATAGATCACTGACACCTGCTGGTTTTCCAAAAAACTAAATGGATCACGATGGACATAACTTTCTACCAACTGGATTAAAATGTCATGCCCATGTGCTGCACAACACTTTAATACAAAGGACATTTTGGGCTTTAGTGGCCATCTTTTACATGTTTTGTTTTTCCAGGGAACGTTTTAAATTCTTGTATTACATTCAGAAATAAAGCAGACATAGACTGCTTTTAACATAGTTTATATGCTTCAGCTGCATCCAAATATACACTTTTAGATCTGTTGGTTAACAGCTGTATTAATGCATAGATGCAACCATGGATAGACCTTTGCAAAAACAAACATTTTTTAGCATGTTTTACTTCATGAACTTTCACAGAAACAATAACAACACAGCTAGCATTGAAAACTAGGAAGAAATCTCTTGCCTTGTAGACAGTGATTTTCTGCAGACCTCACTCTGTGTCAGTCATGGAAACAGTTTAAACTAGAATCAAAGTCACACTGATCACAGATCACACTCAACAACAAAGTGCAGGAAACAGTGGCTTGTTCCCGGTCAGCTCATGTGGCCGCTAGTGCAGTGATCTCATCAGGCTGCACCCAAATTGACCTGCTCATCTCAGATATGGGCTTAGTCTGATATGTCACACATGCACTAACTCACATGCATGTGTGCGTGTGCACACATGTACACGTTCATTCAATTCCCACTTTCTGTGTTCACCGTGTTTAATTGCTTCCTTCATTTGACCACAACAGCTGCATCTTCAGTTCAGAGTGTTCAGCCAATTGTGAAGTCTGCTAACTCGTGCCTGTCTGGCACAGTAACCACAGATAATTTATTATCAGTGAAACGGTAAAGCAGAGAGGGAAAGAAAAACTGGCAAGTCATCTGTTATCCTGTATAGAGTATGTATTTTCCTGGCTGTCCTTGCTCATGGCCCCACAGCCTGAACCCAGCTATTCTTTCTCCACAGTTGATGAAATTCTATAATCCATTTATTCTTTGGTGTTTTTTTTTCAAGAGGCCACTTCATCCAACTACAGGAAGGATTCTTTGTTAGGTGCTTTTTTTTATTGTTCTTTTATCAGCGTTTGCACTTTGTACAGCAAAATAAGAAGAAAAAAAGACCTGCAGGGCTTTTCTGTATACTATGTATACATTTATTCAGCTCTGTTCAAAAGTTATTATAATTTTTTTAAACATCTTTTATACACAGGCATTTGTAATTGTCTTTGACTTCACTATATTTATTCCAAAAATAAAGACATTAATGAACAATTGTAACTGATAATGCATTGTTCTCTTTTCAGAATTGTTGCCTAGTCACACCAACATTTAAATTGATTCACTTTGTTCCTATGGAATTACTACAGTTAATACTTCCACTCGGAGGGGGTGGGGGGGTGCAAATCCACACAAATATTTTAAGTTGCAAATCCAGTAGTGAGCCATCCTGACAGTCCTAACCATTTCTGTATATAAAGATGGACATGTCACCATTTTCCTATTGTGCAACCAGCCACCAGGGCGTGATTGACTTGTGGTGGCTTCACTTCTGGTAGCTGTCACATCGTCCATCTTTATATACAGTCTGCTTTATATACAATCTGTACCCCTGAGCTTTGAGGGGACAGATCATGGATGCATTAAAGAGAACTGCATACCTGATTACAAGATGGTGCTCAATTCATTCTCTGAAAAGTTGCTCACTAGTACATACTCCAAAAAAATTCTTCCAAAAAATTGTCTGGCCATGAAAATTATCAAGGTGTTTTACATCCTTCTGTGTTTCCCATTGAGCATGAGCACTTGCATAATGCTGAGATTGCCCTACAGAAGTGAAGTGACCCCAACAGACACTCAAGAAGTTTTTGGATGCAAGGTGAAAGGTCTTCAGAAACCTTGACTTTGTTCTCCTAAATAATATTTACCTTTATGCCACAGAACACATGCATCAAAGTCAATATTCACAAACACATTTCTGTAGAGATGCTCTGATCTTTGAAAGTGTGCATTCAAACCATTAATTCAAACCTATAATGTCTACTTTGCTGTGCATTTGTTTCATGGTTGACGTTTCTCACATGCAGCTACCGACATTTTCCAGTGGTTGATGTGGACTCATTCTCCCTGTCTATGACCAGTCCAAGAACACAGCTGTATGTGAGAAGGTGGAAATTCTGAATTGTGCAGTTTTGACATGATGACTTATGTGTGTCTGAGGACATCAAGGAAAAGGTTTGGGAGGTCTTGTGTCAGACATTTTTTTAAAAACCTTTTGAGAAGGAAACTATATATCAAAAAAGGCAGACTGGTCTGACCTACTTAAGAGCTGATAGAGGAAAACCTGGAGAACAGCCAATGGAAATATTTATTTGTTCTTCCAGTTGCTTCTCGCCTGGGTTTACAGTCATATCTATTTGCTGGTTTGACAGCTTTAATTGAGCCAGACTCCTTATCAAAAAGACTGGTTGGTTATAACAGCATTTCTCAAAAGATGTTCTTCATTTGGTAAAAAAAATAAATCTCATATATTACTTGTGTTATATTTTAACTTAAGACCAAGGATTAATGATCTCAGTCTCTAAACCAGCAGCTTATATAATACACATTTCCATTAGAGAGATATTACCTTTTATAGAAGAACAGACCAAGAATGAAAACACAGGCAAATCCTTGAGGACAAATGCTAATTTGGCTGTAGCTAGTAAAACTAAAGGTGACCGGACAATGGAGGCATTATCTGAAATAAGAGGGATGAAACGGTAAAAAGATTTGACAGAAGGACTGGGCAAAACTGATTACTCCCTGAAAGGTTTGAAGACTGTGAGAATAGACCAGTCAAAGCTGAACAAAGATTTAAGAAATATGATGCACAAAAGTAAACTGGGCAGGGATGTCCAACCTATTAATGTAAGGAGTGAAAGAGAGAAACTGAAGGCATTCAGTATGTTTGAGTTAACAGCAAAACTACTGAAAATGAGTTTTAGACTTCCAGAGGATGAGGACCCCATCGTCTAACATGCGCATGGGTCACTGGAATCAAGCAGCAGAGTATTTACAAAGGCTGGAGCACAAAAGAATTGCAATATGAACCATATGCACTTTAGACACTCTATCGCCCTGCAGTGCAGAGAAATCACATGCCAACTCAAGAAATGTAAGATTAAGCTGAGGTCCTCTTATCCTGCTGTGCTAAGAGTGTATTTGGTTGAAGG